GCGATGCCGTGGGGTACCCCAGCTGCGCCCGCTGGCTGCCCCAGCCGAACCAGCCCTGACGGCCCCCCAAGCCCTGAGTCAGCTGGGGACAGGGTGGCTGCAGGCACCGTCCCCATTGCTGGGGCAAGACAAGGTCCTCAAGGGAACACTGTTCCGTGACAGTCCCCCTAGCCCTGGCCCAGATAAAGGGGACAAACCCTCCCTTGACCCGTTAGTAGCTTTTCTATCCCTCTGTAAATCAGCAGGAGCCTCCCCTCTGCTCGGGCATCCTGCCCCCGGGATGCCAGCGGCACAGCAGAGGTGGCCGCGCCGTAATCCTTGTGTCCCCACACTTGCCATGGTGCCCTGGGTCTCAGCTCAGCAGCTTCCTAGTGGGAGAAGATGGGGACAGGAGCCAGGCCGGACATGGCCCATAGGGCACAGCTCGGTAGGACGCGCACTCTATGGCACAGGCCCATAAACGGGCACTCTGTGGCACGACTACGTCGCATGGGGCCATAGGGCACTGTATAGGACGGGGATGGCATGGCATGGCTACCTGTGACACGGCCTGTATGGCCCGTATGCAGGACAGAGCCTGGGGGCGGCTGTTACATAGCGCAGGGGCCTGCATGCCACAGCTACAGGGGACAGGGACTGCGTGGTGCAGCAATACAGGACAAGACAGCCGCATGGGAGAGGGACTGTGTGGCACTGCGAGAACGGACAGGGACAGTACAGCAGAGCTACATAGGCCGGGGACCATATAGCCCTGCTACACGGGACAGGGATCCCGTGTAGGACAGGACTGTACAGCCCAGCTAGGTAGGACAGGGACCTCACGGCACAGCTACGTGGGACAGGGACCATGTGGCTCCAGTACAGGCCAACCCACAGCTGTTCCCGGGGCTTGCAGGGACCGTGTGCCGGCCCCAGGAGCAGGGATGTCCTGGCCAGCCCTGACCCAGCACCCAGGCCCTGCGAGGGGGATCCCTGAACCGGGGGGCTTTCCTCCCCTGGCCTGGGTGCTGCCCCCCTTCATGGCACCCACGGTGTCCCTGCAGCTCCTGGTATCATGCGACCCGTGGGGGCTTTGGCTCTCCCGCAGCCCAAAGCCCCCGGCTGCAGGGCTGGATGCAACCACGCGGCTCCCGGACGTCTCTCATTCCTGGTCTCCAGGATTCAACACCCCTGCACTGCCTCCGAGTAGCGGGTGCCAACACCAGGCCCCGGGCGGCCCCGCTCGAGACGCTGCCTCCCCGCTGGCGGCCCCGTCCCGGGCTCCCCAGCAGCAGGGCCCTTGTGCAACCGGAGCAGGGGTTATTTCTTTCCCGAGCGTGAGGAAATGCAGCTGGGACGCGGCCCAAGCAGCGCGTTCCCCCCCGCGCCTTGTCCAGCGCTGCGTCCTGCCCGCCCGGACTCGCGGCCCCGCACCGAGTTTCCATCCCCCTTTCCATTCCCCGGCGCTGCCGGGGCCCTTCGTGGCGCCGGGTGGGGACGCCGGGGACGGGGTGCCGCACTCGGAGCGCTGCCTCCCTCCCTGCTCTTCCCGGCATTGCACAATGCGGCTTCCGCTGTGCCGCGCCGGCTCTCGGTGGCCCAGCCCTGAGGCGCAGATTTACGGATGCCTCCTAAAATGGGGTTTTGGCCCCCCAGATGCCAGGACCTCACAGAGGCCCTGCTTGCCTGTGGCCTCCCTCCTGGGGGCCTCGGCCTCCCAGTAGCCGCTCTGTATCCAGCCCTTCCCATCCAGCCCTGTCCCAGAGAGCCCTCCTGCGGTGCCA